GTTTCGTTCTGCTGTGCATAAGGTCGCTATGAGTTGGTACCGACTTGATGGCACCTAACAACAACAACAGCATACGTATATGGATAGAAAAGAGGAAAATAAGGATGTTGGGTAGTTAAAAAAAAAAAAGGTAGGGCTAATGGATTGAAGCTTTCATGAGAGCAAGAACTACTGGAGTTGAGTACTATTAGAGTCTTTTTGTTAGAGACCATTGAACTGGTTCTGACTCAGAGGCCCTATGCACAACAGAATGAAAGTACTGGAGTAGAATGAAATAATAGGAGGTAATATACAGAGCTTGAGATACTTACAGTGGGGATTTTGGAGATAATGCTATAATGGATATTCAAAGGTCCAGCATGTGACAATAGGAATATTATGGAAGAAAGATCATTGGAGGAGAGGAGGTCTTGGGCCTGAGAAGAAGGGTATTGGATGGGTCATCACATGGATGGTTGTTGTTGTTGTTAAGTGCCATCAAGTCAGTTCCGACCCATAGGGACACTGTATAGGGTTTCTGGTGAGTAGCTGGTGAGCTTGAACCACTGACTTTGCAGTTCAAACTGATGTTGCAGTCCAGCACCTTAACCCACAGTGCCATACCAGGACTCCATATGGATGGTAGCGCCACCAAAAATAATCACAAAAATTAAAATGAGGAGGAAAGTAGGGATTCAGGGGCTAAATTCACCTGTGAATGAGTGTGAATGATGGAGAGGCCACTATGTGCTGGAATACAAGGAGCTACTGAGTTCAAAGTAGCTGGGACTTCTGAAGGAGAGGAGGAATTCAGAAGTGTCCTTGAGGAACAAGGACAATAACCCCAATCTTGGGTTCTGAGATAAATGTCACATGAGAGTGCCATAGGGGAAGGATTATTTGAGAATGGGCAGCTCACTATGGCAAGAAAGAACCTGCAGAGAAAAGATGAGAGATTCGGGGAGTTCGTTGATGGCAGACCACAAATTCCAGTGAGAGAATTTGGGTGGATGAAGAGGAGAGAAAGTTAGAGAAAGTAGAGACCTATGTGGGACAGGTGAATCGTTACTGAGTTTGGAGACTTAGGTTATTAGATTTGGCAGGATGGGAGATATCTCAGTAACATCACAGAGGAGGAAGGTGGTTGAAAAGACCAAATTGGAACTGTTCCCACCATTGACCCCATGTGTTATAAAGACCAGGAAGGATGAATAAGGATCTCCACATGGACAGCATAAGCTTAGGCAGTAGCAGCTAGATGCTACGGGAACTTGAGCTGGTTTCACCTAAACAACACAGGTTGATGAAACTGTTTATACTCTTGAGAGGTTTAAGCAGTTTACTGACTGTGATCCCAGGGATCCAGGACTGCTCCTTTCTTCCTGTGACTATCTATTGTGTGGTGGGATCATGCACAAGGAGCCGAGAATGGCTCCTCTTCTGTGACTCAAGGCAGGCAGGCAGGGGGTGATGTTTGGATAAACATGAGGAGGATTAGATCCTAGCCTGGGATCTGTGGAACAAAGTAAGAAGAGAAACCAAGTTTCCATATGGATGGAGATAAGGTAGTATAGGAGGAAAGGAAGGAAACAAATGCAGTTCATGACTAAGCTAATTCAACAGATGAGGCATTCAAAGCTAGAGGTAATTAGGATATGTAAGCTACTCAGGAGTTCATAGAAAGTTGGGGCAAGACTATGTGTCTGTCTGTGTAATAATGCGTACCACTTTAACCTGCCAGAACAATCTAAAACCTAAGGAGCTTGACATGAATACATTGACTGAAACAGATTTGAACTCTGTCTTTACTTTGTCTCTGCATCCTCTTTCTTGTAAGTACATAGATTTGACTTATTTTACTGGATACATTTTAAAGGTTAACAGCTGAAATACACGGTTTTGTTTAAGTAAAAGATAAAATGTTTGTCTGCACAAAATGTCTTCATAAAGTTTTTGTTTAGACTGTTCCCAGAACCTATGTGAAAAATTATTATTATTAAGTGCTGTCGAGTCAGTTCCGACCCATAGCAACCCTGTACAGGGTTTCCAAGGGTATAAATCTTTATGGGAGTAGAAAGCCTCATCTTTCTCCTGCGGAATGGCTGGTAGTTTTGAACCGCTGACCTTAAGGTTCGCAGCCCGATTCGTAACCATAGCTGGTACTAAAAAGAATACATGTATGGTTTTACTTTGTGACTATCTTAAGGCTGACGAGTTGGGTTTTTAAAAAAAAAAATGTCAACCAATCAAAAGTTTTGCTTAAAACTTCATGAAATGTATATTCTTCTTCCCCTTCTTAAGACCGGAGTGCTTTGTACCTATTCAGTACTTGCCAATTTGAGCTGTCTATTTTACAACTAAACTTGTTGCATTTAATCCAACTGAGTCTGAGACTTACTATTTTGATATGTTGGTGGCAGAAGTGGGATCAAAGATACATTATCTTTTGCAATTCTTGAGGCATTGAGGATTCAAGCTCAATGTCAGTGAGATGTCTGGACAGCTTGTGAGGAAAAGAAAAAGAAATGAGAAGACAGAGGGGAAAAAACCAAAACTTTAAAAAGAGAGATATAAGAGAAAGACTCTGTAGAGAAAGAATAAAAAACAAACACAAAATTCAATGAAAAGATTCCATAAATAAAAAAGAAAATGAGTTCAGACAAAAAATAAGGTTTAAAATTAAAAATGTATGTGCAAGTAAAAAAGATACAATATTGCTAAAACAAAAATCATACTGAAAAACAGTAAACTATAAAACTTGGAATTTTTAAAATTAAAGATTTAATAACTCAAGATTTAGATTCTAGCTCTAAAATTTAAAAAATGTCTAAAATATAAACTTGAAGGCTAATAAAGTTAACTTTGGTTAACATTTAATTCTATTCCTTAGACTTTTTAAATTACTTTAATGGCTTTGGCAAGCGTATTACTTTGTAATAAGTCATGGCAAGGTAATTTCTATCCTTTTTTCTTCTCCTTTAAAATTATGTTGGCTATTCATGGTGTGTAATATGAATTTTGAGACTGGCTTGTCAATTTCCACACATCAAAAAAAACCCCAACACTGCTAAAATTTTTCCTGAGACTGTACTGAAGTGATACATTTGGAGATAAACAACATCTTTACAGCACTGGAATTCCTGTGCATGAACATAAAATATCTTATCATATTTTTGGATTTCTTTTTCATGGCCTTCATTAGTGTTTTATAAATTCTCCACAATGGGCCTTGCAACTAGAAGTTCTTATACTTTATTCATAGCTACCTTTTGGGTTTGTTATACTTTGTAAGTAGAATTTTTTAAATTATAATTTTGAATTAATTTTTAGTGAGATGATTTTTATGTATTATAAGCACTGGACTGCTAACCACAAGACTGATACTTCAAACCCACCAACTCCTGCTTGGAAACCCAATACAGGTTCCAACTCATATAGACTCTGTATAGGGTTTCTGAGGAGTGGCTGGTTAGTTTAAACCACCGACCTTTGCAGTTCAAATTGACCTTGCGGTTCGCGGCTTATCTTATAGAGCCAATGATTGCTGTTGTTGTGTTGTAAAGTGCCATCAAGTCAGTTCTGACCCATAGTGACCCTGTATAGGATTCCCAAGGAGCAGCTGGTGAGCTTGAACCGTTGACCTTGCAGCTCAAACTAACTTTTCAGGCCAGCGTATTAACCCACAGCACTGCCTAAAAAGCCCCTACTCTGCCACATGGCATCGCTATGAGTCAAAATCGATTCAACAGCACCTAACAACAACAACAGCATATAAACTATACATAAACCTCAGATATACTTAGAATATCTCACTTGCAAGTAGACAAAGTGAAGTAATAAAGATCAAACTCTTAGGGATTTTTAGGCAACATTCATATTACACTACGACTATACATTTAACTTACACAGCCAGCTAAACGTCATTGGTATAAAATACAAAGCGCCACCTCCAACATTTAAAAACAATATAAACTTACCATTAAAGGTCGCATTCATAATGAAGGCGAGTAAAGCCACATCATTCGCACAGGGGGATTTTGTCACCTTAAGATCTATCACGTGTGGCTGTAATCTACTACATTCAGCCTTTCCCATTTTAACTCCAAGATTCCACTGAAGAATAGGTTCTGTCAAAATCAAGGTTAGGTACTTAAATATGGTAGCACTCTTGCAAAGAAACACTACCACTTGCTTTAACAATTTTAAAGGAAGTATTCCATGAGGGTGAGTCAAAAATTATCTGCACTCCAGGTACATTAAAAGAGCTGTCCATGTCCATGGCTGATGACAACATTGAGAGTGCACTTGAAATGGTTCAGTCAAATAGACGAGTGACAGTGGATTATGTGGCAAATCATTTGCAAATTAGCCTATGAAGTAATCCATGACAGACTTGGATTTCAAAACATTTGTGTGATGGGTACCGAAACAGTTCATGGAAGAACATAAACAGAAGCACTTGGACATCTACAAACAAAATTTAGACCGATACTCAAAGGAAGGTAAAAAGTTCCTTTACAAACATCATCACTACGAGCCTGAGAGTTAGCGGCAGAGTATGGAATGGAAACACCATCAATTGCTGACCACAAAAAAGTTCAAATGTTAACCAACAGCTGGAAAACTGATGCTTAGGGTTTCCTGGGATTCTCAAGGGCCAGTATTGGAACACTATCAGGAAAAAGGTTCAACAATCAACAGTGAAGAGCTGAAGTCTAACCTTGGGGTTAAATCCAAGGGGTGTTGTGATCTTGCATGACAATGCATGTCCACACACCTCTGCCCATACTGTTGACATTCTGCAAAAACTTAGTTTTGAGGTGTTAAAGTATCCTCCCTATAGTCCTGATCTGCTCCATCAGACTTTCAGCTGTTTGGGTCCCTGAAAATAGCTCTTTGTGGACAAAGATTCATCTCTGTCGAAGAAGTGAAGAAGACAGAAGTGCGTTCATGGCTCACAGCTAAGCCAAAAATACTTTAAACAAGGGAATATGAAAACTTGTTGACAAATGGACAAAATGTATTAAAAAGCAAAGAGGTTATGTCAAAAATAATGTATTTGTGTTTTTAAAAAGATGATTAAAATAAATTCTATAGCTAGAGTGTGGATAATTTTTGACTCAACCTCATATAATTCAAATGTTGTTATCATTGTTAAGTGCCATGAAGTTGGTTCCGACTCATAGTAACCCTGTATAGGGTTTCTGTGGAGCACCTAGTGGGTTTGAACCGCTGACCCTGTGGTTAGCAGTCCAGTGCTGATCCTACAGCGTCACATCAGGAGTCTCTAATTCAAATCAATGGGTGCACTGCATTACTCTTCCCCAGTTAAAAATAGGTTGTTTCTTCTTTGTGAGAACAGAAGGAATTCCCCTTGTTGGGTGACTGGCAAGGGGACATTGTTGTTGTACTCAGTTCCGACCCATAGCAACCCTGTATAGGGTTTCTGAGGAGTGACTGGTGATCTTGAACCACTGACCTTGCAGTTCAAACCAACTTTGCAGTGCAGTGCATTAACCCACAGTGCCACACCGGGACTCCAAGGTCATATTGTTGTTGTTGTTGTTATGCAGCATCTAGTCAGTACTGACTCATAGCGACCTTATGCACAACAGAACGAAACACTGCCTGGCCCTGGGCCAACCTCACAATTGTTGCCACACTTGAGCCCATTGATGCTGCCACTTTGCCAATCCGTCTCACTGGGAGTCTTCCTCTTTTTCTCTGACCCTCCACCTTACCAAACATAATATCCTTCTCCAGCGACTGGTCCCTCCTGACAATATGTTCAAACTATGAGAGATGAAGTTTGACCATCCTGGCCTCCAAGTAGCACTCTGGCTGCACTTCTTCCAACACAGGTCTGTTGGTTATTTTGGCAGCTCGTGGCACTTTCAATATTCTCCTCCAACACCATAACTCAAAAGCATCAATTCTTCTACGATCTTCCTTATTTACTGCCCAGCTTTCACATGCATATGAAGTTATTGAAAATGCCATGGCTTGGGTCAGGTGCACCTTAGTCCTAAGCTGATATCTTTGCTCTTCAACACTTTAAAAAGGTCTTGTGCAGCTGATTTACCTAATGCAATACGTCATTTGATTTCTTGGCTGCTGCTGCTTCCATGAGTGTTGATAGTTGATCCAAGAACAATGAAGTCCTTGACAACTTCAATCTTTTCTCCATTGATAAGAATGTTGTTTATTGGTCCAGTGGTAAGGATTTTTGTTTTCTTTACATTGAGATGCAATCCATACTGAAGGCTGTGATCATTCAGTAAGTATTTTAAGTCTTCTTCACTTCCAGGAAGCAAGGTTGTATCACCTGCATATCGCAGGGTGTTAATGAATCTTCCTCTAATCCTGATGCCACGTTTTTCTTCATAGAACCCAGCTTCTGGGATTATTTGCTCAGCAGACAGGTTGAATAAGTATGGTGAAAGAATACAACCCGGTCACACACCTTTCTTAATTTTAAACCATTCAGTGTTCCCATGTTCTGTTCGAACAACTATCTCTTGGTACATGTACAGATTCCTCACGAGCACTATTAAGTGTTCTAGAATACTCATACTTCGCAATGTTGTCCATAGTTTGTCATGATCCACACAATTAAAAGCCTTTGCTTTTGCATAGTCAATAAAGCACAGGTAAACATCTGGTATTCTCTGCTTTCAGCCAAGATCCATCGGACATCAGCAATGATATCCTCGTTCCACGGCCTCTTCTGAATCCAACTTGAACCTCTGAAAGTTCTCTGTCAATATATGCTTGCAGCTATTTCTGTATTACCTTTAGTAAAACTTTACTCATATGGGATATCAAAGATATTGTCCGATGATTTCTATATTCCGTTGGGTCACCTCTGTTTGGAATGGGCATAAATACGGATCTCTTCTAATCTTAGCATATGGAATAGGAAATACTGTTGTGGCAATTTCTGTAAAGTGCAATTTGACAAAAGATCCATCCCTAAAACTGTAATGACTTGAACACAGGCAATGCACATTTATAACTCAGAGAACGACATGTTTTCTTTTTGTTGTCTCCCCAATCCCATTGAAAACAAAAGTCTTGTTGTCAGGTACTTCTGAGCAGACTCTGAGTCATGGCTACCCCATCTGTGTGGATTGGAAGCACTCCTCAGGGTTCCCAAGGTTGTGACCTTTCTTCCAGACCTGTCTTCCAAAACTGCCGACCTAATGGTTAATTAAGCACGTACTGTTAGCACACTCCAGGGACTCAAGACAGCAGTAGATACCTAAAAATGAGAATAAATTGAGAGCAACATGGAGAGTAGGGAAAGATATCATTAGTGGCCAAGACACTTAGAGAGATTTCTGGACAATATGAAGGCTTGTAAGTGGGACTGACAGAAAAGCCCGTCCAAGGTGAGACATTTCCACCCCGCATAGGCAGGACAGCAGCACAAAGTAACCAAACAAGAGCTCCGATGATCTAATGGCTTTTGAAGTTTTCACTGTCGTTTTGTGTGAACTACTGTCCCATTCGAGACTGTAGTCTTTGTGTATCTGTTTTTCCTTCAGTTCTTTTCTTCAGGTCTTGGTTCTTTTGGAGAAGCCTTCCATTAACTCCTAGAATGAGTGGAGCTCTCTTCCTAGGTATTCCAATAGCAGGCACTACTTCACTGTAACTAAGGAAACAAAGCTGGGCTCTTCCTCGTCAGACTGAAGTAGATCAATGGTCCTTTCTCAAGAAAGATGAGGCTTTACAAATGTTACAACTTGGAGTACTATTGGTGGATATGCAAAGGGTTGGAGCTGGATCAAATACAATTTTCATGTGTAAGAAAATGAGAGACCTTTGCATTTTTGAGAAAATGACAAAAGAGAGTGCCAAAATTTCCAGGGCAACTTGACAGTCTAAATTTCAAAATGTAGGATTTAAAAAAAAACGGGTTGGACTGCTAACCACGATATGGAGGTTCAAACCCACTAGCTTCTCCTTGGAAACTCTACACAGGGTCGCTAGGAACCATAACTGATTCGATGGTACTTACCAACAGCAACAACAACGGAAATAATTAATAACACAGTCTTTAGCTCTTTAAATTCCTTCAAGCTCCTCAGACTTTCATTAAAATCTAAGTACTGGACTGCTAACCAAAAGATAGGCGGTTCAAACCCACCAGCTGCTTCTTAAAAACTCTATACACAGAAGGCTTTTGTTGTTGTTAAGTGCCGTTGAGTTGATTCTGACCCATAGCACCCTTGTATAGGGTTTCTGAGGAGCAGCTGGTGAGCTTGAACCACTGACCTTACAGTTCAAACTGCTTTATAGTCTGGTGCATTAACCCACAGCACCATGTAGCTGAGTCAAAATGGACTTGATGTCACTTAACAGCAACAATAACAAATCAAAGACTGCAGTGCATAATTTTTGTTGTTGTTAAGTGCCATTGTGTCAGTGCTGGACCCATAGCAAGCCTGTATAGAGAGTTCCCAAGGAGCAGCTGATATACTGGGTCCATATAGGTATATGTAAATAACTCATATTTCAGATGAAAAATAAATGACAGTTTTACATTGGTGTTTTAGAACTTAAAGTATCATTGTTGTTAAGTGCTGTTGAGTCAGTTCCAACACTCAGGGACCCTTTGTACAACAGATGAATCACTGCCCAACCATGTGCCATGTTGCAGCCATTGTGCCATCCATCTCTATGAGTAGCTTTCTCTTTGTGTTGACCCTGTAGCTTACAGACACAATGTCCTTCTCCAGGGATTGGTCCCTCCTCATAACAAGTCCAAAGTACGTGAGACCAAGTCTTGCCATCCTTGTTTCTAGGGAGCATTCAGCTGTACTTCTTCTTTTTGAAAACAAAAAACAAAAACAAAAACAAAAACAACCAAAACTTTACTGTGAATTGGATGAAGGTTTACAGGGCGGTTCAGTTTTCCATTGAACAATTCACACATTTTGTTTCATAGCATTGATCACAATCCCCACAATTTAATGCACATCACTGACCTTACTTCCTCCCTGTGTTTCCTATCTTCATTCTTCCTTCTTTCAAAGTTCCTTCTGAACTTGGTCCCTGGGTAAATGCTGTCCTTTTGAACTCAAATGGTTAAGTTGTGCATATCTCCCTAGTGTGATTGTTCCCCTTATTGTTGTTAGGTGCCAGTGGGTTGGTTCTGATTCATAGAAACCATGTACGGGGTTTCTGAGGAGCAGTTGATGAGTTTGAACCGCCAACCTTGCTATAGTCTCAGAGGTTCTACCCGTCTCTGTCTGATCCATAAGTCTGGTCTTTTTTATGATTTTGAGTTTGGGTTCACATTTTCCTCCCACTGTATCCAGGACCTTCTAAGATGATCCCTTTCAGAGCTGGGCACCATCAGGTTCTTCCAGTTTCAGAGTTCTGGAGACTGATGTTCTGGTAATCTATTGGTCCACTGAACTAACTGTTTCCATACATCTTCAGTTTTCCTACTCTTCTTTCCTCTGGATTCTTGTTGTTAGGTGCCATCCAGTCGTGTCTGACCCATAGTGACCCTATGTACAACAGAACAAAACAATGCCTTGTCCTGTACCATCTTCACAATTACTGCCATGTTTGAGCCCATTGCTGCTGGATACTGTTGTTGTTAAGTCAAATTGGTTCCAACTCATAGTGACGCTGTGTACGGTTTACAGAGGAGCGACTGGCAAATTTGAACCACCGACTTTGTGGTTCAAACCAACCTTGTGGTCCAGTGCATTATCCTGTAGCACCATACCAGGACTCCATGCTGCTGGATAGGGAAAGGGAAAGACCCATAGTTGTGGTGTGGCTCTTCTTTCTTTAGAATATAAACCAAGTAGAGGAATTGAGGGCTCATCTGATATTTCTATGTCCAACTTTTTAGGGAAGTGCCACACTGTTTGCTACAGTGATTGCATGATTTTACAGTTCCTTCCAGGATAGACTTATTTATTCTTCTAGCAGTCCATGTTGTTGTTTTTGTTAAATGTCGTCAAGTAGATTCCAACCCATAATGACCCTGTATAGGGTTTCCAAGGAGCAGCTGGTGAGCTTGAACCACCGACCTTGCAGTTCAAATGACTTTGCAGTCTAGTTGTTGTTGTTGTTAAGTGCCATCGAGTCGGTTCTGACCCATAGCAACCCTGTACAGGGTTTCCGAGGTTATAAATCTTTACAGGAGTAGAAAGCCTCATCTTTCTCCTGTGGAACTGTTGGTAGTTTTGAACTGCTGACCGTGAGGTTAGCAGCCCAACTCGTAACCACTATGCTACCTAGTCCGTAGTATAGTCAAAATTTTTCACAAGAATAATTCAAATCCATCAATTTTTCTCCGTCTTCCTTACTCATAGTCCAGCTTTTGCTTGCATAGGAGGTGACTGAGATAATACCATGGCTTGGGTCAGGTGTACCAACCATAGTCCTCAAAGTAACATTTTTGCTCTTTAACACTTTAAAGAGGACTTTTGTAGTAGATTTGCTCCCTGCAAATACAGTTTTACTACAGGTAATTCAGAAACGGCTGCAAGCATACATTGACAGAGAACTTCCAGAGGTTCAAGCCGAATTCAGAAGAGGTTCAAGCTGAATTCGAATGGAACGAGAGATATCATTGCTGATGTCCGATGGATCTTGGCTGAAAGCAGAGAATACCAGAAAGATGTTTACTTATGCTTTATTGACTATGCAAAAGCAAAGGCTTTTGAATTTTTGACTGTTGATTTTTTGACTGTTGCTTCCATGGGAATTGATAGGACATCAATATATCAGAATATTTGAAAAGCAGTATTGTAATCATTGTTGACTGATTTGCTCATTAAAAAAAAATGCTTGAAAACTATGAAAAATTGAAAAGTACAAACATTTTTTCAGTTTTGTTTCAGGCATTTAGAAGTAAGACAATACCGATATGATTAAAGACACATTTGCATCCTCCTAGAACCCCATTCTCAAATTCTGCCCAAATGTTATCGGTATTAAGGAATTTTTTATATTCTAAGCCCATGTTTTACTATTTTACTATAATACTTGTATGTATCAATGAGCAGTATATGCATATATATCTAAATATATATATATATGTTTCTAAGTGCTGTCAAGTCGGTCCAGACTCATTGCGACCCTGTGTAGGGTTTCCAAGGAGCAGCTGGTGAGCTTGAACCACTGACCTTGCAGTTCAAATGACTTTGCAGTCTGACGCATTAGCCCACAGTGCCACACACAGCGCCACACCAGATAAATACATATATCTATATATAAATATATCTGTATCTCTATCTATCTATCTATCTATCTATCTATCTATCTATCTATCTATCTATCTATCTATCTATCTATCATCTATCTAGTATGGCTCTGTAGGATACTGTACCAAGGTTGGTTTGAACAGCAAAGATGACAGTTCAAATTCACCAGCTACTTGTCAGAAACACTATACGGGGTCATTATGAGTCAGAACCAACTCAATAGCACTTAACAACAATAACAACTCTCTTCTGGAACTTGAGTTTTTCACTCAATATTTCTGAGTTTTTTCTGTTCTTGTTGATCTCTATGGAACTATTTCCTTAATTTTAACAGACTATACCAAGATGCTGTGTTGGAAGAAGTACAGCCAGAATGCTCCTTAGAAGGCAGGGTGGCCAGACTTCATGTCTCATACCTTAGACATATTATCAGGAGGGATCAGTTCTTGGAGAAGGACATCATGTTTGGTAAAGTGGTGGGCCAGCGAAAAAGAAGACCCCCAATGAGATGGATTGGCACCATGGCAACAGCAATAGGCTCAAGCATAGCAATGATTGTGAGGTTGTTGTAGGACCAGGCAGTGTTTCATTCATTGTGCATAGGGTCGCTATGAGTTGGTACCAACTTGACAGTACCTAACAACAACATATCAACATTTATTTGTGTTTTCCCCTAACGTTGGATATTTAAGTTGTTTCCAATTTTTTATTACAAATAATGCTGCATTAAATTTGTTTGTGCATGTCTCCTGGGTGGCATATACAAGAGTTTCCCTATGGTAGCTCTCAACCCTCACTGACATCAAAATCACCTAGCCAGGTGAGTTGTTTTTTTTAAGTTTTTATTGTGAATTGAGTGATAGCTAACATGGGAGAACATCAGCTATACATTCATCCTATCGTATTTTGTTTCATTGCAATGATTACAATCTCCTCCATGCAACATCATTCAACAGTATTTGCTTCTATTCCCTCTGTGGGTTGTTTTTGTTTTATATACACCAAAACGCTCAGAAATATGCAATCATTCAAGCAACCAAAGGGGAGTTTTTAAAACTACAAATGTTTTCCCCACACCTCTGTTATTTTTGTTGCTAAGTGCTGTCAAGCTGGTTCGGACTCATAGAGACCCTGTATAAAGATTCCAAGGAACAGCTGGTGAGTTTGAACCACCGACCTTGGGGTTAGCAGTTCAGTGCTTATCCCTACAGCACCACACCAGGACTCCACCTCTAGAGAATTGAATTTAATTGGTGCATATTGGGATTAGACAGCAGTACTTTTTTAAAGTTCCCCAAGTGAGTCTTTTCATAGAATGCAAGATTTACTTATTTATACTCTGCATTCTACTTAGTATGGTATCAAAGTAGAGGTCAAAGGAAAAAATGAGTAAGAATGTGAGGATCAGAGCAAGACCCAGGATTAATGATCAAGGAAATTTACACTATGGTACAACTTTGTTTTTGTTGTTGTTACGTGCTGTCAAGTTGGTTCTGACTCATAGCGACCCTATGTAGGGTTTCCAAGGAGCAGCTGGTGGGTTTGAACTGCTGACCTTACAGTTTACAATAGTACAATAGGCGATCTAAACCTAAGGCAATAAATGTCCTATACGATGTTGAAATGGAGAAGCTGTACAGTTCTACACTCAATGTTCAGAAGCTTAAAACAACAAATTTCTCAGGAAAGCAAAAAATTATTCTAAGACAAAACAAGAATTTTTGCTGGTGGTCCTCATAAATAAGATCGTGATACAATGAATAACATCTTATATAACATCTTTCTATAAGACACACACATGGACTTTATAAAGCAATTACCACTTTATAATATGGCTAGATTAGAGGTATCATACCAGACCTCTAGTTTGCACACTCTATTTGGTGATGCAAATGGTTAGATGAAAATAGTTAAGTGAAAGGTTGGTAGTTCAATACCGCTCAGTGGCACCTCAGAAGCCAGGCCAGTTTATCTGCTCCTGAAGGATTACAACCTTGAAAATCCTATGAGCAGTTCTCCTCTAAAGCCATGGGGATGCCAACTACATAGCCATGAACAATATCAACAACATTAACAATGACTGTAATCTCTTCAAGGGTGAAGATCATTGGTTATTATTGTTATTAATCTCAAGAACTTAACACAGGGTCTAGCATATAGTAGGTGTCAAAGTTTACTGAAAAATGATATGGATTTCATTTTACTGTTATTTGTTGAATTTTACCTCGAATAGTATCCAGTAGAGTTCCTTCAGTAGAATAAATATTGAGTCCATGATGTAAACTAATCCTTACTAGCCATTCTTCCACCGCTGTAACACCTGTTTGGGAACAAATGGCACAGAGTCACATGTTGTGCTGGTGAGCTTTAAGGCAATATGAACGCTACCAATAACAATTATCTATCATTTCCCAATCATTCCGACTGCATTTTAATGTAAGGTTTCCCACATTTTTTCCTCCAAACATTTTGCTGATAACATTGTTGTTAAGTGCTGTCAAGTTGGTTCCGAACCACAGTGATCCTGTATAGGGTTTCCAAGGTGTTGCAGACCATGTAAGACTAATCAGAGGTTCGAGGCCCGCTAGGGCCGAGTGTAACAAATGAGGCCACTGGCAGTTAATGGCAAATTGCTTTCATATTAATATTCAGGTATATATATTAAATTAATACACTGGAGCCTTTGACAATCCACAGATAAATGTGGTATTTTCCTAA